ATGAGTTTTAACAAGTTTTAAGCTGGCTACCCTCGATTTTTCGCTCATTTCTGAGCTATTTTTGCACAAAACTCTTCAACTATTTTTTTTATTTCTTCTATTGTTTCTTTGATGCTTAATCAATTTTGAATATAATATTAGTTTTTATATTATCTTCTTTAGAAGAAAGTTCAAGAAGCGCGGTGTACTTTGTCGAATTGTACGGCGATGATCACCACCACTCCTCCACCAACTTTACCCGGATCAACAAAAATAGCACCAAGCAAAGCAATTTTCGATAGATTTTCATAGATTTACAAATAGAATTCATTTCTGCATATTCAACTCTATATTTCTATATCTTCTAAGAGTCATTCTATTCATTCTTGGAAGAAAAAGGAATTTCTAGAGTTCTAAATTTCTTTCAACGAAGCCATCCTCCTCGCAAATTCCATTAGTGAGGGGGAAACAGGCCACAACCACAATGACAACGTTTTTCTTTAGAAAGATAACGTTTGTTCTAAAAAATTTTCGCAAATTAACACATATATAGTTTAACCTAATCAAAAAAATATTTACCGTTTTAAATCAGTAATTAAGATGGCTCGTTGAAAGAAATCCTTTTCTCACAGTAATTAAGTTTTCTTTTTGCACTTAAACCTTTAATAGAATCGATCTTGGGTATTTGGAGGATGATTTCATGCTTGAGTTGGCACTAGGGGAAAGCTATGTATGGAATGTCACCCATTGTGACTCTTTAATTGAGCCTCTCTTCATCGAGAATTCGATCTATCGTCCATCGTCCACTAAAAAGTCCCGCTTTTCCCCATATCGAACGCCTCCTTGAAAAGCCATTGATGTAACCCGTTTCCCCTTTGAGCTCCGAATAATTACCGCCAAGCGACGAGTCATTGAGCCCCGAATGGAAGGAAGAAAGGAAGAAAGAAAGGAAGGGAGAAAGAGAGGAAGGAGGGAAGAAAGGAAGAAAGAAAGGAAGGGAGAAAGAGAGGAAGGAGGGAAGGAAGGAAGAAAGAAAGGAAGGGAGAAAGAGAGGAAGGAGGGAAGAAAGGAAGAAAGAAAGAAAGAAAAGAAAGAACGGAAAAGCCTATACATTTTTGGAAGGATAGCCGACGATTTCCCGCTGTTCTTTTTCTGGGGAGAAGAAAAATGTTCCTTGTCCCTTTGGGGGGAAATTGCTCCTTGACTCAGTGACAATTCCTGAAAATAACTATGAATGTCGGTTTGTTTTTGAGCTTATTTTTAGGGTTCAAGTATATAAGTGATAAAGCTTTAAAAGCCCTTTCTAACCACTCTAAAGCATTGCAAAAAGTCACTTAAATATTGAAAATGGCTTTTCACTGTAAGTTTATGTACTATCATTGACATAATGACTCTTAAGGTTGACAAAATAACTTTAAAATTTAACTTAAAATTGCTTCTCAACGAATTTATCTATATTAGTACCCAAAGATCCAAGTGAATTGAACTCTAAGCAATTCTGAACTCTGAAATCAATACCACAAAATCATTACCACACAAAAAAAAACTCATGCCTATTCAAATCAATGGGTTAACTAGTTATATGGTTGGTCATGACCCTGAATGTAACAAGAGACGATCTTCTCTCTTTTCTGAGGCGGTTCCTTCACCTTTTCAAACTATTTAACGTATGGATGGCTAAAGAACAATCAAATGAAAGGGGCGATGGTGTGAATGCGCAATTATGATCGCCTACCTGTAATCTGTGGCAAAAGGTCAGACACCGCTTTTTGAGAAGTGTGGAATCAAGTGGGGGGGATCAGTCTTCAATCTTGTGAAGGACTTAAAAAGAAAGGAAGGACTTACTGAAAGCAAGGGACTTACTGAAAGGAAGGACTTATCAAAGAGATCTGATTCTTATCCAGATCCTCAAAATCCAGATCTTTCCATTGTGAAAAGCTATCATACAAAACCCAAAGCCAATTCGATTCTCTTGCGACTTTTCTTGGGACAAAGGTTTAGAATCAACTCCGCCAATAGGTTCTACGATCCAGAAAGCCTTGAGGCACAAATTTGGATCGATAAAGTGTTCTGGAGAATGAACCAGAACAACCAAAAGCATTCCCAACTACTTCTGACAAAGTTTATATCTTAGATTGAGTCCATCATAACAGTCTTGTCATAATAACAAGATAGTAAATACAATTTCTATTCACATAGATAGCTAGGTAGTTAGGTAGATCACGCACAGTCAGTGCCACTTTTTGAAGCCAGGTGTAGGTGGATGGGGCAGCCGTCCGTCCGTCTGCTCGGGTTGGGCCGTAATCCGGGGTAATGAGCGGTAATCCACACGATTTTCTTTTTTTCTCATTTCTTCCCCTTGCAGTTCAGAGCTCAAAAAAGGCTTACTCATAAACACCCGGGTTTTGATCCTAGTCCAGGTGTTTTCAGTCACTCCGTGATGATCGACAATTTGATTGCAATGCCTTTTCAAAAAGCTAGGGACCTGCTATGATACACTACTGGACAATGAAATATCATATTTGAAAAAATATTATCACTTTCGGCGCGTCTATAACTCCCTTGTCTTTTACCGTATTTCTAAATATTAATATTACCATTGTGTAGCCCTTGAAAAGAGCTTTCAGAAAATGTATAATACTAATAGTTTTTAAACTGAAAGATAAGGGAGTTACAGACGCGCAAAGTGACGATCGTTTTCAAATATCATATTTCATTGTCCAGTACTGTAGCTGTGAAAGCACTAAAGAAAAGAAACATTTAACTAAAGAATTACTAAAGAATAAAGAATAGAGACAAGCTCTCACTTGATGCAGCCTCATTTCTCTAATTTCTTCTCTAATTTCAGATCGTCTCTACTCTGTTTTGGCGTGGGCAGCCTCAGTGTTCTTGCTACTCATCTAATTCCTCACTCTTTCAGATAAAAATCGTGAGTTTTAAAGAATTTTGAATGACAAATAAAAATCAAATGAAGCATGAGGTAAAATGACAGATGTTTTAAGAAGTAATTGATACCGATCTTGCAGAAAGAAATCGGGAAAGAGTTGCGCAACCGGGGAAATTACTAGTCTCCGGCTAGTCGAGGGACAAGTTCGCTATTTGAAATATGATTTTTTAAGTTTTAAACTCTAAACTTTTCAGCACTTGAAAGTTTGACCCTTGAGAGAAGAATAGGAGTCTTCTCCACAAAAGGCGTCCATCTGTCACCGATTTGTTTGAGAGTCTTTCAAAGAGACAAGAATTACCGGTGCTGAACACGCGATTCTCATAAAAGGACACATCGATTCTTGTCTTTTCTTCTCTTCTAAACAAATTACCCAAACCATATGGTTAAAGCGATTTTGGGGATACTTTTTGGAGATTTGATGACAGAGAATTTTGTATCGTAAAATTGATAAGGCGAACTGGAAAGTAATCATTTTTTCTGTGTTGTAAAATGAGTGAAATTTGAGGAATTTACATGGAGTTTGGTTATTCTAAAGACAATTGTTTGGGCTAGGCTTTCCTGGAGACAAAACCTGGTTGGATCTTGCTTGGTTTAGATGGCTTAGGAAAGTGTTTGAGAGTCTTTTCAAAGAGACAATGAATTACCGGTGCTGAACACGCGATTCTCATAAAAGGACACATCGATTCTTGTCTTTTCTTCTCTTCTAAACAATTTACCCAAACCATATGGTTAAAGCGATTTTGGGGATACTTTTTGGAGATTTGATGACAGAGAATTTTGTATCGTATTTGACAATTTGATGACAGAGAATTTTGTATCGTGAAATTGATAAGGCAAGCTCTTTGAAAAAAGTAATCATTTTTTTATGTGTTGTAAAATGAGATAGGGAACCAAAATCAAACAATTAGGGAATTTGTATGAAGTTTTTTTATTCGAAAGACAATTTTCTGGGCTTAGCTTTCCTGGAGACAAAATCTGGTTGGATCTTGCTTGGTTTAGATGGCTTAGGAAATCCCTGAACAGTTTCTCGATAAATATTTGTCCCATAATCACTGGAGCAACTAAATTTCGACCATTGATAGGCCAAATTGTGAACGTGTCACACCATCTGGTTCTCAAGTTGTCCCCGAGCAATTTCCGTTCTAATTTTGATGTCCAATTCCTCTTTCTCATGGGGTATTCGAGGCTTGATCCCTTCATTTCTGAGAGAATCTATGCTTGGGGAGAATTGGAATGAGAGGGAGAAGAAGGACGGTAATGCAAAGTACCCCCATCTTTGCTTCATTTCTCTTCATTTCTTCGATCTTGTCGCCTCTCATTGAGCCCCTTATAAAGCCGGGTGCCACTTCCGCCATAAACATCGCCTCTCCGTCTTTTCTCCAATCGAAAACACCAATCATTTCTCGAATGTCTTCCTTTCTCTTTGAAGCAATAAGCCCATTGATTCGATTAGGGAAAAGGCTTTGGATTTTAAAGGATACTTTAAAAGTTGCTTTAAAAGTTGCTTTGAAAGTTGCTTTGAAAGTTGCTTTTTGCTTTGAAAGTTGCTTTTTGCTTTAAAAGTTGCTTTGAAAGTTGCTTTGAAAGCTGCTTTGAAAGTTGCTTTGAAAGTTGCTTTTTGCTTTAAAGTTGCTTTAAAAGTTGCTTTAAAAGTTGCTTTAAAAGTTGCTTTAAACGTTGCTTTGAAAATTAGCAGTCTCCTTTGATCCTTGGAAGGCTTGAAATTCAATATAAACCAATAAAAATTCCATCCTGGGATTCCAAAGGTTTCCCGCGAGTTCAAGCCCAAAAAAATACTGCTGGAATCGGTTTTTTATCTGAAAAGATTTAGTCACAATTCTTTCCAACAGATTCCCCACAGAATCCATGCGATTTGTGAGGTGTTGTTGGTGTCCTCTCAGAGAATATCGGAGATCGGGCGTATCGACTTTCAATTGAGTGGATCAAATGGTCTTTTTGAAGGGAAGAGACACATCGTCACCATCAAATAACTGAATGACGACAAAAAAGACAAAAAGACACATAAAACAACAGTCTTTAGGGATTTGGGATAAAAAAAAGCATCAACTATATGGGTAAAATGAGTAGGAAAGTGCCGGCAATTCACGAATGCAGTAATGAAAAGTACTGGTAAGATTTAAGTTCTTCAGCTTCAGCTTCAGCATCATGTTTTGTCTTACAGCTTTTCTGAAAACTTCAGAAAATAAGACAAAGTATATAAGACAAGGCAAAGAGACAAGGCAAAGACAAGGCAAAGGCAAGACAAAGGAAAGACAAGACAAAGACAAAGCAAAGACGGAAGAAAAAGACAAGGTAAAGACAAGACAAAGACAAAGCAAAGACAAGGTAAAGACAAGACAAAGACAAGGCAATACTTCAGTATACGAGATAGAAGGCAATACCTTATCCCTACAATATCACCAAATACTGCATAGATATGGATATTTCCTTTCTACAGTACTCTAACTAAACTTTTTATTCCAAATTTACATTTAATCATTTGATTTCAGATTTCTCGACTTTCCCTTCCCTTCCCGAGCCCAGCTTCTCGCCTTTTCTACAGGTTGCCCATCCACCTTTCAAAAATAAATAAAACCCCAAATTTACAAGTTTTCTTTTTATATTTTCACAGTGCTCAAAGAATGCAGTCCTCTAAAATGCAGTCCTCTAAAATGCAGTCCTCTAAAATGCAGTCCTCTAAAATGCAGTCCTCTAAAATGCAGTCCTCTAAAATGCAGTCCTCTAAAATGCAGTCCTCTAAAATGCAGTCCTCTAAAATGCAGTCCTCTAAAATGCAGTCCTCTAAAAACTCCTAAACTTTTCCTAATTCTTTTTCTGTTCAGCTTTAGCTTTTTTAGATGTTTCTTTAAAAAAAAACCTTACCACTAAATCCATTCACTTTGAGATATATTGAAGCTAAAATATTGATTCCATTCAAATTTCCAATCGGTGTCGTGTGATTTCAGTTGAAATATTAACTAATTAAAAACTATTTGATAACTTAAGTTTTTAAAATCGAATGAAAAATTAGAAAAACTAGAAAAACAAGAAAATAGTCACGAATTCCTCAAAAGTATTTTTTTTCTCCTCTGACTCAGTTCTTTATTTTTACTTTTTCTTTATTTGGTTGTGTATCATTTTTCTATTTTGTGAGAAATAAATACTTTATCTTTACGGCCTGAAAAATACGAACTTGTAATCCTAGAAGCGATCTTCTAGCAGAAAAAGAGTTTCTATTGAGTTCTAAAAGAGTTTCTATTGAGAAAAGAAGAGCAAACAAGCTTTCTAGGCTTTTCTATAATAAAAACTACAAGTTTTGAGCTTTTGACCAACAGTTTTGCCATTTGGACCATTAGTTTTACCATTTGGACTAGAGTTTTACCATTTGGACCATCGGTTTTACCGTTTAGACCAACAGTTTTACCCATTGGACCAGAGTTTTACCATTTGGACCAATGGTTTTACCCTTTAGACCAACAGTTTTACCCATTGGACCAGAGTTTTATCCTTTGAACCATCAGTTTTACCCATTGGACCAACAGCTTTACCCATTGGACCAGAGTTTTACCATTTGGACCATCGGTTTTACCCTTTAGACCAACAGTTTTACCCATTGGACCAGAGTTTTATCCTTTGAACCATCAGTTTTACCCATTGGATCAACAGCTTTACCATTTGGACCAGAGTTTTACCATTTGGACCAATGGTTTTACCGTTTAGACCAACAGTTTTACGATTTGGACCATTAGTTTTACCCATTGGAACAGAGTTTTACCCTTTAGACCATCGGTTTTACCCTTTGGACCAACAGTTTTATCCCAATGGTGCCTCGAAACACTGAATTAACGATTGTTTTTGAATTCTTTGAATTCTTTACATACTTGAGATCAGTGTCCATGACAGGTAGCTATGCTTTTCCCATTTTTAGCTCGACTTTCTTGTTAGTTCTTGCTCTAAACTCACTGCGTAAATCGGTTTGTTTGGTGCTCATCACTTGGCACCATTTTCACCCAATCTGCGCCCAATTCCTCCCCTTATCCGCCTAATGTTTGTTTGCAAATCGGCTTTTTTTTTGAGGCAATAGATGGGATGGATGAAGAGCTTTTGTGAGGGGATTGATGCGACGCTTAATGCAAACAAAAACAAACAATCAATGGACTCCTTTTTGGGGGGAAAGGTCATCAACGATTTTCTTTTAGCCCATCAATAGCAAAAGGATCTTAAGTCTTAAGTCTTAAGTCTTAATGAGGTTTCGAATATTATAAAGATATGTTAAAATGAAAAATTTCAGTCACTTAAATGATTCTAGAATTTTGGAATGATTTGAATTTTCGAAATAAGCTTCACAAAAGAAGACTGGCCCAGCAACTCGCCGGACCTCAACCTTTTGAATTTTTCAGTATGGAACGTTAGAGGAACGTTAGAGGAACGTTAGAGGACCGTTTGAGGCATAAGAAAATCACAAGTCTTGGTGAGCTCGAAAGGGAATTGATCGCTGCCTGGAACGATATTGATGCCAACTACCTTCGTGCCACCGTCGGCTCAGTGATCGCGCATCTAAAAGCCTGCATCAAAGCCAAGGGGTCCAATTTTGAACACTTGTTATAAATTTTAATTTTTGGTTATTTATCGGTTATTTTTTCAATAAATATGTTAAAAGCTCAATTTTGAAAAAAGATATGATGGTTGAAAAAACGACAATACTTTTCTCGGACCCTGTAGATTTCAACAATCGATTTCTTCAAAATAAAACATTTTCTACTGAAAATTGAAAGCAAAAAATGGTTTTGTTTTGCAAAAAAAATGGTTTTGTTCAATTTAGTTTGTGTTGTGCATTGGAAATTTTCGATTTTTCGATCATTGAGAGCTATTTTTTCAGTGTACCAAAATGTGCTTTAATCGCAAAACGCATCAAAAAAAATTTCCCTTTATTTTATCACAAGCAAAACTACGCACGACTGTCTGTGAATTTCAAAGCACAAAGGTTTAATCGTTTTTGATTGTCACCGCATAAGGTTAAAAGAGAGAAAAGCCTTTGAAAGTCCCCGAAAAATGAATAAAATGATGGAATTGATAGTGGAATTACCATGAGATTAGTGGGTCAGCACAAATGAACATATAAAACCTGTGAAAGCATTTCGAGAAATTATCAAATATTCAGTTTTTTTACTTACTGTAACCTTAGGTTACAGTAAGTTAACTTCAAGTTAGAATTTACTGTAGTCTTGATAGAATTCTTTAGCAATATCAATTCAAAAGGTTTAAAAGAAAGTTTTTATAACAGATAGTCATTTAGCATATTGAATCTCTGTTAGAGAATACTGTAGCCAGTTAGCTTGTCTTGTTCTAACCTTAGGTTACAGCAAGTTAACTTAAGTTACAGCAAGCCATGTTAACTTAAAGTTAGAATTTACTGTAGTCTTGATAGAATTCTTTAGTAATATCAATTCATAAAGGTTTAAAAGAAAGTTTTTATAACAGATAGTCATTTAGCATATTGAATCTCTGTTAGAGAATACTGTAGCCAGTTAGCTTGTCTTGTTGTAACTTTAGATTACAGTAAGTTAACTTAAATTAGAATACTACAGTCTTCATAGCCTTTAGAAATATCAATTCAAAAGGTTCAAAAGAAAGTTTTTATAAAAGATATTCAGTTAGCTTATCGAATCTCTGTTAGAAAATACTGTAACCAGTTAGCTTGTCTTGTTGTAACCTTAGGTTACAGTAAGTTAACTTAGATTAGAACACTGTAGACTTGATAGCCTTTAGAAATATCAATTCAAAAGGTTTAAAAGAAAGTTTTTATAACAGATAGTCATTTAGCATATTGAACCTCTGTTAGAAAATACTGTAACCAGTCAGCTTGTCTTGTTGTAACCTTAGGTTACAGCAAGTTAACTTAAGTTACAGCAAGCCATGTTAACTTAAAGTTAGAATTTACTGTAGTCTTGATAGAATTCTTTTGAAATATCAGTTTAAAAGGTTCAAAAGAAAGTTTTTATAATAGATACTCAGTTAACTTATTGAATCTCTGTTAGAAAATACTGTGACTAGTTAGCTTGTCTTGTTGTAACCTTAGGTTACAGTAAGTTAACTTAGATTAGAACACTGTAGACTTGATAGCCTTTAGAAATATCAGTTCAAAAGAAAGTTTATATAACAGATATTCAGTTAGCTTATTGAGTCTCTGTTAGAAAATACTGTAACCAGTTAGCTTGTCTTGTTGTAACCTTGAGTATACTCGTAAGATAAAAAACAAAAAGATACAAGCCAAGAAACTATACAAAAGAAACTCCCCACAAAATTTAGATTTACTTTCTTTTGGACCTTTTTTCCTTGATATTCAATCCAGTTTCCTTTCAGCATGGGTTCTAAAGTCATTCCTCTCATCGTAGCTCTTATTTCTTTAAATTCTTTATCCGCTCAATCACCAACTGCCGCTTGTGTGGCCTGTGTGAACAATCCCACTCAATAGTAAGTGTTACTGTATCCGTAAGAGGCATTAATCTTTGGTAACTGTTTGGATAATTTCAATTAATCCATTTCAAAGTAATCGTAGTAATGATTTGACACTTGTTTTGCTTAAAAATTTATTGAAAAAAGAAGCAACAACTCAGCCGGCCGGATTGAACTCGGAATTAAGCCTTTAACCTCCTGACTAAGATACAGGGCTCTTAGCCAGTCAGCCATGGCTAGTTAGTGGCTACTGGGCTAACTTTAACAAGCTAAAGCCTAAAATGAGAGCTAAACTGTACAGCTCAATCAACCTTTCAGCTTCAACACGGCTACGAACACTTGCGTGAATCTCGTTCTCTGGGGCCTGCGGGACGCCGTCTGTGGCCTCACTCTCCCCAACTCAACCGCTGTACATTTGTAAAACTTTTAGCCAGTCAAGCCAATCCCTTCAGGTCTGTGATCCGTTCAATTGCCCTGTTGACCCACCATCGACTTTCGCCTACAATGAGAACAACGCAAAAAATGTTTATTGGAGATTGCAAGGAGCATTGAAGCTAGACACCGCCTCGCCTACAGTTCGAAAAATCGAATTATCATAAATTTGAGAGTTTTAGTTCACCCAGTGTACGCAAAATGCTGCCTCTGATATTATTTTCGTTGATCGTGTCAATGTGACTTGTGGAGTGCCGGTAAGAAGTCTGAGGCCGTATGCTAGGCTCCGGGAAAAGTTCCCGCGATTTTCTGATTTTTATGGAGATACCGGCGAGCTTTCCGGTAAAACGTTCATAGTTTTCTCGCGGAACGGGATTTTCCTAAGAAAGTTCCGGTAGAAAGTTTTACCGGAAACTTTCTGGAAGTCCATAGTTTTCCCGCGGAACTCTCCGACGCGGATTTTCTTTCAGAAAGTTTCCGGTAAAACTTTCTACCGGAACTTCCCTAGGAAAATCCCGTTCCGCGAGAAAACTATGGACGTTTTACCGGAAAGCTCGCCGGTATCGCCGTAAAAATCAGAAAATCGCGGAACTTTTTCTAGAGCCTAGCATATATGCTCTGTTTCAACTTTAGAAGCAAACTTTTGTTTAAAAATGTTTCTTCTAATTGAGGTCATCAAGATTTTGAGCAAGAAAATCAATATCACTTTCAAATCTTTAGTTTCCCATTGATACATGCATTACTGATGTCTATGTGATCCCATCGCTTTCACAAATCGTTTCGGTCTCTCGTGGATCGAACAATATCACACAGGTAAGTTGTCATAAATCAAGCAATCAAGCATCAACTTGTCTTTCTCATTTCTAAAATTTCAGATTTTTCAAATGGTGTTGACACTTGCCGCTCCAATCTATCCAATTCTTTCAAATGGAAATAATGGAATGTTGGTGAGTTTCGAAACCAGGAAAGACTAGGAAAGAACAAGCAAGATCAAGAATCAGATCAGGATTTGGCTTCTGGTTTAGTCTAGTCCAGAAAAATTGTCTTTAAACCAGTTTCCTATTTTTCAGGCTATCAGCTACTTCCAAGATGCGGCCAATAAAACGTGGGAAGGTGGCCTTGGCGCAGCACTTCAATCGTTGTTGACCAATCCGACTTACTCTAGCTACAAGGTTCAATAATTCAATAATATTGTGAGAAAATTAGTAGTAGTTTTTTTAAAGAAATACAAACTCAATAATCCAATGAAATCATTTTTCCCAATCTTTAAAACCTTTTCTTTTCCATACCTTTCATTTTCAGTTCGTTTCCGCCGGTCACTCACTCGGTGGTCCACAAGCAATCATCTTTGCCTCACTGGTTTCTATTTAATCTTAAACTATTAATCCTTCATATTTAGATTAAAAGCTTATTTACACAAAATTCTCTTATAAATTCAAGGTCGGTAAACTTGGATTGCGTCCGACGAATCAAATCGAAGTGTACACGACCGGGCAACCGCGCATGGGAAACCGCAAATACATGGAATCCGTCTATCAATATGTGAGTGAAGTTTGGAATTGGAATTAGAATTAGAACTAGAATTAGAACTAGAATTAGAATTAGAATTAGAATTAGAATTGGAACTAGAATTAGAATTGGATCTAGAATTAGAATTAGAATTAAAATTGGAATTAGAATTGGATCTAGAATTAGAATTAGAATTAAAATTGGAATTAGAATTAGAATTGAAACAAAAAACAAAAACAAAAACAATTGAAAAAACAAACAAACATTTTCCAGGCTCCTCAAATCTATCGTATCGTCAACCACGTCGATCTGATCGCGATCACTCCACTCCGCACTATCGCCAACCCGCTCAACGTGCAACACACCAATTGGGTGGTTGGTTTTTGGAAAAAGATTGTATTCGTTAATAATCCAACTCTTTTATAATATAACAAAAATGATTTTTCGATTCGCTATAATGCTAAAATGACGGGTACATCAGCCGACACGTACACCCGATGCAATTGGCCCGAGCAACCGGGTAATTTAAGATCTTTGCTTTCCTCTCGAGTGTTTTCTAAAATGTGATGTGTTGCTAATTAGATTCTAGCTTCTAAATCAAAAGGAGCCAAATTTAGAGAGATAAGGAACTAAATTAAGAGAGATAAAGAACCAAATTAAGAGAGATAAGGAACTGTGATGTGTTGCTAATTAGATTCTAGCTTCTAAATCAGTCAATTTTACTATTATAATCTTGACTTGTCAACTACTGTAATCGTGGCTTTAATCTATCTACATTTTGACATAAAATCCTGTAATAGTTAAAGCAATAAGTTGATATAAAATTGATATAAAAAGTTGATTTGATAAATCTTAGCTAAGATTACGATAGTCAAGAAAGGTTTATTGATTTGATCTACTATTTTTTTTAGCTTGCATGGGCTATACCCTTGCTGACTCGTTGACCGAAAGTGATCACAATACATATTTTGATCAAGATGTCACCACCTTTCACACTACAGGATGTGTGTATTAAATATATTATATTGATACTTTATTCAGGACATGAAATAAAGCGTAATCAGTCAGACAATACACAAATCTACACATAAATACATAGAGAAAGATGAGATATTTTACTCGGCGATGTGGAGGCGGGGAGAAAAGAAGATAGATAGAAGATAGGCTTCTTGCTTTAATAACCTCAGGCCATGAATGGGCCAACCCAGTGGAAGAGTGAACTCCGCTAGAGAAGGGATCTCTAGTCAGCTCTAGAGAAGAGACCTCTAGTCTGGGCGCACGGGCTAGGGAAGAGAACCCTAGGGGGGCCGAACCCCACACCCTCAGTTTGGAAGTGAGAACTTAACCAATACACCATGAGGGCCCCTTCAAGAAAGAAAAAAAGGAAAATGAATGAATCAAATTCGTTTATAAGAAGCTAATAAAGCGTTAATGATAGAAAGAAAGAAAGAAAAATACAAAAAAACAAGGAAAATGACATTTGAAATGAAAGGATTTGAAAAATTGTGACTTTCAATGAAAAATTGTGACTTTCAAATCCTCTATTAGCATTTTCACTTTTAACAAAAATGCAAACTATTAGGGACTTGCAAAGGAAAATGCGGATTACTTCCGAGGACGAAAGTTTTTTTTATTTGAAAGTGTGATGGTCCGGTTTAAATTGTATTATATTGTATTACTATTGCTTATTCATTTTAATTATTTTCACAACTATTGCTATCATTAAATATTATATAATCTTCGGTAGAAGGTGGCGGATCAAAAAACTCATGTTGCGAGCGTGCCTTCTCTATGACCTCAAAATGAAGAAATCAGCATCGAAGTCGCGCCGGAATCTTTGTGAAACATTCGGAGAAAACATTTTGAGTGAAAGGACTTGCCAGGAATGGTTTCGACGTTTTCGTGAAGGGGATGGCAGCTTGGAAGATGGATATTATCCAGTTGTCTTTGATAATGCGGAGTTGCTGGAGATTGTCGAGTTGGATTCAACTCAAACTTTGCCCGAATTAGCCGAATACTTTAAATGTGATTCGAGCACAATTTCTCGACACCTTGCGCTTATTGGAAAAAGGAATCATTGTGGCCAATGGGTCCCACATGAATTATCCGCTGAAAACAAAGCCAATCGAGTTTTATGGTCTCGGTTTCTATTGAAAAAGGCTACGGGCAGTGCTTTTTTGAAAATATGTTGATGATGGACGAAAAGTGAACATATTTCAATAATAAAACAAGCAAAAGACAATAGTTGAGCAAAGGAGAAAGGCCGATTCCAACATCACATCCAGAACTTCACGGAAAGAAAGTTATGCTATCGGTCTTTTGGAATATGAAAGGAATCGTTTATTTTGAATTACGAAAATCTTCAAAAACTATAACTTCACAAATCTACGCCGAACAGCTGAAGAAAGTTGATGAAATTCTACGAGAAAGAGGTGTTAATCCAAAGACAATCCATTTACTCGCTCACAATTTCCCGGTACACACATCAAACTTGGCTCAAAACACCATAGAAGAATTAGGCTGGAAACTTGTGCCTCATCCCCCTATTCGCCTGATGTTGCTCCCTCAGATTACCACTTGTTCCTGTCTATGCAACACTCTCTTGCAAAATCTAAAGTTTAACAATCCTAAAAAAGTCGAAATTTGGGTGCAAGACTACTTTGCATCGCCGGACCCCGAATTTTTCGAATCAGACATCCAAAGTCTACGCAAAATATGTAAGAACATAGTTGATAATAATGGCAAATATCTTTTGGAATAAAGTTATTTTCTTACTGATTTTTGGGTTGTTCAAGTTTTTGGGTTGTTTGTTGGTTATAATCCGCAGTTTCTTTTGCAAGTACCTAATATCACAAGCATTGACTTTCTCATGGTGACGGTCATGGTGATGGTGGCTCCGACGGTGTCAAGAAATTTACATATGCGGTCGTAAACTCGTGAACTGAGAGGACTTGTAAGAACATAAAAGATATTGCAGAACAAGTAAACTTTCATACTCGCAACTTGAAAACTTTTACATTTCGATGAGGGGAAAAATCTGGAAAAACCCTCCCCGAAACGATTTCTAGAAGGACAATTATTAGCTTAGGACAATTATTAGCTGGCAGTTTCTTTTGCAAGTACCTAATATTTCTTAAAATTTGATTTTCAATAGAATTTTGATAATTTTAAGAACATCTTTTCAAAGATTTCCCCGAAAAATGCAGTCTTTTGAAGTTAGAAAAAATATGAAATGCCCTTGGAATGTCAGTGTGTGTTTGATGAGATCACTCCTCATTTCTTCCGCCTTTTCTCTCATTAACCATTTCTCAAATTTTTCTCACCACTGATCGACATTGATTTATCGACATTTATATGCTAAGCTTTTTGATTTCATTTCTATTTTTGAAACCAGTGAATGGCCAAGGAGTGCAGACACAGATTTTCATACCATGTAAGTTTTTGGAGTCAAATCCTTGAAGTTCCTTTAACTTCAATGTTTTAAACTATTGATAAGTTTAAAAACTTCAAGCAAACAGGTAATTTCTTCAATTCTTTTCTAGTTCTTGATTGGTCTGAATCGCTGGAACCGGTTGAAGTGATTGATGTGAGGAATGATCGAATTGATATCCATTGGAGAGTGCCTGAAGAGTTTCTGAATGCCACTACAAAGCAGAGACTCGTCGTAGCAATAATGAAAGGTTTGTGAAAATAAATCCTCTATTTTCTCTAGTAGTAGAGCTTCATCTAAATTCTTGGAAATCTCAAAAACCATTGATCAGAAGGTAGCTGATGTCGGAAAAGATAGCTGATGATGAGATCTAGCTGATGAGATCTAGTTGATGAGATCTAGCTGATGAGATTTAGCTGATAAGATCTAGCTGATGAGATCTAGCTGATAAGATCTAGCTGATGAGATCTAGCAGGGGATTAGAGTGTTGAGCTTCTACGAGAACTTAGAAACCGGGATCTCGGCTTGAGGGGTGGGGTTTGTCGCGGTTTTGTTGCGCTTTTGTCGGGTTTTTGATTGCCGATGGCAATTTAGGGGGTTATGGGTATACCTCTGAGGTATACCCATAACTTAAGGTATGAGTATAACCTTGTGCGTACCCTGAGAGGTATACCCATGAGGCCGAGTCATTAACTCGACTCACTACTATTAGAGAAATACGATCTTTCACACACGATTCTTCAGAACAAGAGCTTCAAAAGCGTCATCCAAAATCTTTTCATGTGGAGGGTCATCTCCGTGATTACACATTCATCAATCTACAAGGCAACACTTCATATCGAGTCAGTGTCGAGGCGTTTAGGTTTACTCTTACTTTTTTTATATATTAGATTAGATATTAGCTCTGAATCAGATCTAAAATCAAGTTTTAATCAAATTGAATCATTGGATCAACCAAAAACCATTTAGCCATGATGGGACGAGTCTTTGGTATGGGAGTAATGTGGCTAAAACTTCGCTAGCAGGTAATTTCATCTATTTTTCGATATTTGACATTCGATTTTCTAGTTTATTGCTAATATTTCAGCTTTAAATTGGCTACCACCACCAATGGAGTTGATGGTGATCGCAAGGAAATGATTCCCTTGAAATCTCGTGGGCTCCACCCGATATCTCAACTGGCCAACATCACGTTGCGATTAATCAATATTTTGTAAGAAATAAAGCTCTTTTTTTCAATAAATTTCAATTTCTTTTCTTTTTAGATAAACGTCTACGAATTCTACCCCGAATCGCAAACGTTTACAAAGAAATTTACAACAAATATCCCAATACCGAAGACTTCATTCCTTGCAACGAGACTTAATCCAGGAAATGTCTACAACATAACAATACAGGCATGATTCTATGATTAATAATCGAGTCATCGATTAATCATCGACTCGAGTAATCGAGTCATCTATCTTCTTGGAATCTATTGGATTGGTGAATTGAAAACTGCGGGCTATTGACAGTTTGAGCCCTTTCTTCAAAAAGAAACCCATTTTGGTGTCAATGGAAAAGTTGTAAAGAATCAAAAATCAAGCTTTTATCCAAATTTGCAGAACGATTCAAAAACTGGTTTTGAAGAAATGCCGAATTTACGAATTTTCACAAAACTTGCATTTTAAGCGAAACTATTAGGGTGAACCAAAAGTTTTCTATTTTTTTTTATCAAAACTTTCAACATAAATAAAACAACAACGAACGAACTCTAAGCTTCAAAATAAAGACCATTCGAATCTATGACTTGAAGTCATCTATCGGCAAGTTGGCCGATCCCGCGGCGGTACCACTCCTTGTTCTTAGAGGCGAAAAACTCGCGGCACCCTTTTTCGACTTCGCCCAGATTGTTGAAGGCTCGTCCGCGAAGCAAGTGCGCCATGGAGCTGAAAAGATGATAATCGGATGGTGTAAGATCCGGACTGTACGCTGGATGTGGAAGAAGTTCAATTGAGTCGAGATTTTTGATCTTTTCCTTGGTTTGTCTAGTGGTGTGTGGTTTTGCATTGTCCTGCTGAAGGACTATGCGCTTTCGATTGACCAAAGCGGGATATTTTTCATTAAGCGGCGCATACATCCGGTCAAGTTGGGCGCAGTAGAGATTTGCGTCGATGTTCCGACCATTTGGAACTAGCTCAAAGTGAATAATGCCTTCGAAATTCCACCAAACACACAGTAATGCCTTCCTTGAGAATCGATCAAGTTTTGCTACCGGTTCCGCTACTTGCCCGGGATTCAACCACTCAATTTGCTTCTCCGGATTACTAAAATAGACCCACTCTTCATCACAAGTCACAATTCGGGAAATAAAGCGGTCATCGTGCGGATTTTCCAGCAGTTTTCGGCAAGTGTCTACACGATTTTGAGCTTAATTTTCCGTTAAATCATGTGGCAACTTCTCGGCAGCTTTTGTTGGTCTTTCCAAGGGCATGAAGGTGCCGGATAACTGATGTTTGAGGAATATCCAGTTCAGCGGAGAGCCTAATGGATTGGCTTCAACAGCGTTGCGTAGAGCTTCAGAGTCCACAGTAGTTGACCGACCCAAACGTGGCTGATCTTCGAGACCAAGTTCGCCGTTTTTAAATTTTTGTTTTCAATATGTTGGAGATCAATCCTTCACCTTCCACTTGGCATATTTTTTTGGCCGCTTCAGTTTGCGTTGAACCCTTGTTTTCAATAATGGCGCAAAAGTACCCGAATTTCGAATTTTTCCATCTCTTTCCTAGAAAGTAAAAAATAAAAAATAAATAGTTAAACACACGATAACTTAGTAAAATATGAAAGAGCAGATCAAATGATCAAATATCAAGCAATTCTAGATCATCAATCAACAAGTATCAAGTGTTCTTCATTTCCCCAATCTCTTTTGAATTTCCTAAGTCATTCCTTTCACTGAATTAAGTCAAAAAACAAAGTCTAATATAAAAATTGAATAAATTGAATGAAATTATGGAACTTTTGTTTCAGACGAGTCGAGCAACGCGATTTCTCCCTGGCTTATGAGCAGATCAAATGCTACAAAATAAATATGGCACATATATATAAAACGAATTTACTAGTTTTAAAAAATTGTTCAAACTTAAAGAGAAAAAAAAAAATAGAAAACTTTTGGTTCACCCTAATACTAAATACTTTTTGGAAATTTGGCTATAAACCTAATTTTTGATTCTCTACAACTTTTCTATTGACACCAAAATGGGTTTCTTTCGAAGAAAGTGCTCAAACTGGGACATCTCCAGTCCTCCATTTTTGAGTCTCACACTTGTCTCACACACAAGCCAAAATTTTACCACGAAAGAGGAATCCGCAAATTGCCTGTAAAATGAGCAGAAGTCGTCAATAATAATGGAAATTATTTGAAATGAATTTATGGTTTGATGTTGAAGAAATTTTAGTTCAAAGTCCCGCAGTTTTCAATTCACAAACCCAATAGATTGACGAGATAATGACTTAACTTTTAGATTAGGTGACTGGAAAAGTACACTTTAGATTTCTTTAAATCTAAAGTGTACTTTAGATTTCTTTAAATCTAAAGTGTACTTTAGATTTCTTTTCAAATTCTAGGCGGGAACCACTTTCGGTTACGGTAGTACAGCTTGGATAGCCACGAATACACTAGCCGTCGGAGATTCATATATCATTAAGCAGAAGGTAAACTGATTATGCTTTCATAAACGACATGATACAAATTCAGATCCGAACACCGAACTCAATCATCGTCGCATGGCCATCGGCTTGGATGGGAGCTCCAAATGCGAAATTCTCCGTAAGCTTTTCTATCATAAACATTCTAAACTTTCAATGTCTCTAAAATCCTTTTTCGTGCCTTCAAGAGTTTAAAAATAAGTGTTTTTGTTGGATTTTCATCAATTTTTTCGACGTCATTAGCTTTTTCAAACTATTATTTAAAGCAAAAAGTGGGGTAGGCTAATTTCTGCAACTTTTTTTGCGCAACTCACCATAACTTTGTTCTATTGGGTTGGGGAGAATGAGTCGGCGCCCAACTTTAAAGGGACTTTTTGCACACATAAAGCCTTCTTTAAACATACGTTTGGTTTGATCAAAAGGATCCACTATTTCTCTACAAAATGACTTTTGAGAGATTCCACAAAGCTTTTCTTTCGTGGAGTTTATGAACTTCCAAACGCAGCTGGTTAAAATGGCAAGAGTCCGACTCATCATTTGAACAGTTTCTTTCACATAAACCTTCTTTGGTGTTTATATAAAAAAGATAGAGCACATTCAATTACTTAAGTTGCCAAATTTGCAGGAAGATCCCACCAATGGTTTTTTCTAGATCACAGTTTGTAGTTTTTGTGAAAAAATGGCTTTTTCTTGAGCGGAGGCGCTGTTTGAATTTTCTTTTAAATGTCATTTTGTAGAGAATTAGTTAACCATTCTACTCATATCAAACGCATATTATTTGACGAAGTCGAATAGAAGTTTTAGACATTTTTTTCATTTTCGGCGCCGACTCATTCTCCCCAACCCAATAAGTGGACCAAAATGATAAAGATTGGTCCGCTTAGAAAGAAATTATGGCGAGTTGCGCAAAAAAAGTTGCAGAAATTAGCCTACCCTCAAAAAGCTTTATAACTTATTTAAAGCCTTTAGAAGTCTTTAAATAATTGAGCATTTTGCTATTCAAGAGTTGAGCAATGACAAAAAAAAATGAAAACTTTTGTCTAAACGGGGTTTTTCAATTAAAATAAATACAATATGTTGAAAATTTTCAGATCCGAGCGAAAACCCTTCACTCAAATGAGGGAATTGAGAAAGAAATATTGGAAACAGGATTCGTGGAAGCGGGAAGGAGTAGTGAATTCCTTTTGAAACATCTTTCTCCTGGTAGCACATACAATGTAACATTAATGACGGCCGCTGAGGTTAGTGA